GTTCTGGTATGGTTTGTCAATTTTTAGCTAATTCTATTTGTGTTTCAGATAATCCTCCCCACCCTCCTTTTGTGGTTGTTGTCCAACCTGTAGGTGACAACTATTCTTGTCCAGCAGCTGTCAATCCTAGTGTATCATTGGAGGCAACAGAAGTGTTAGGAGAGACTGAGGCTGTAGAGGATTCTAGGGAGGAAGGGGAGAGAATCTGGGAGCTAATAATGCAGCTCTTTGATCAGTTGGTTCAGGTAGAAATACAGTCCAGAGTGGGTTTGGAGGAGGAAGGTAGTAGTCCAAATCGGATGTTTTGGAGATGGAAAAGGAAGAAGGAAAGAGTGAGTTGAGAGCCAAAAACACAAAAAGAAAAAACAGCAGAAGAAAGACGACGCAGGAGAAAGGAAAAGAATCGATTCTTTAAATAAGGAGTTAGAGTTACCAAAAAAAAGAAAGAAGAAGATGAGTGAGGTGGAGAGGCTGAGATGTGGAGTTGATTATGAAAAAGGAGGTACAAGCAGAAAGGAAGGGAAAATGGTTTAGGTTAAGAAAAACCCCAGGGTCTCAACATTTGAATTTTCCCATAAAGATAATCAGTTGGAATGTTAGGGGGCCGGGGAGTCAAAGAAAAAGAAGGGTGATTAAGGATGTTTTTAAGAAAGAGAAGCCAGATATTGTACTAATTCAAGAAACAAAGTTGGAAGAGGTGGATAGAAGATGGGTAAGAAGTTTCTGGTCAGCCAAAGGCCTAAGTTGGGCTTTTGCACAGCCATGGGGAGCCTCAGGAGGCATCCTAACAATTTGGAAGAATGAGGAGATGGACTACACTAAAGAATTGATTGGAAACTTTACGGTCACAGTGAAATTTAGGAGGAAAGAGGATGGGTTAGAATGGGCTTTAACTAATGTCTATGGTCCAAATTCATATAGGGAAAGGGAAGACTTTTGGGAAGAACTAGCAGCCAATAAGGGGTCTTTGGAGTGATCCTTGGTGTTTTGGGGGACGATTTTAATGTCATTAGATTTGTGAATGAAACAACTAATCCTAGCCATAGGATTACCTCTAGCATGAGGAAATTAAATCTACTTGTGGAGTTCTTGAGCTAAGAGAGCTGCCCATGATGCTGATAAAGAGAGAGAGAGGGAGAGAGCTGCCCATGCTACAAGCCAATTTCACTTGGTCCAACATTTAAGAAGAACCCCTATGTTGTAAACTAGACAGATTCTTATTCTTAATTATCTGCAAACTGGGAGACTACTTGGAGGGGAATGGTAGTAAGGGCACTTCCTAGACCAACTTTGGATCATTGTCCAATCAGGCTCTCACAAGAGAAATTAGGAGGACCTTGTCCGTTTCGGTTTGAGAACATGTGGCTACTTCATCCTGAATTTCTAAAGAAAGTACAACAATGGTGGGAAGATCAGGTGGAGTTCATATGAAAAGGATATAGATTCTACAAAAAGCTACAAGTTCTGAAAGCTAGGATCAAAGAGTGGAACAAAGAGGTGTTTGGAAGAGTCGAAGAGAGAAAAGAATGGATTGCTAAAAGAATTCAAGAAACTGATATAAAGGAAGCAGAGAGAAGGTTGAGAGTAGAAGAAAGGAAAGAAAGGTGGAACTTGAAACAAGAATTAGAGGAAATAAATAGAAAAGATGAGATAAGTTGGAGACAAAAGCCTAGATGCAAATGACTCAAGGAGGGAGATGGAAATACTAGGTTTTTTCATACCTTGGCAAATGGTAGGAGGAAGAACACTATGGAGAGGTTGGAATGGAATAGAGAAGTGCTTACAAGGGAGGAAGAGATAGCAAGAGTGTTTGTGAACCACTTAAAAACCATTTATGACAGTCCTAGCAAAATGAGAGAGGACATTTCTGATTTTCAGTGGCAAACAGAGAGTAGAGAAGTAATGGAGTAATTGGAAAGAAATTTTGAGATCCAAGAAGTCAAAGATGTTGTTTTCTCAATGGAAAGATCTAAAGCCCCAGGTCAAGATTCATGGTGGCCTTTTAACAAGATTGCTAGGAAATTATAGGCAGGGATTTAATGGAGGTGTTTCTAGAATTATTTGAGAGAGGTAGGATTAACTCAGGTGCCAATGCTACTTTTATAGCTTTGATCCCCAAAAAGATGGATGCAAGACACCCAAAGGATTTTAGACCCATTAGTTTGATGGGTAGCATGTATAAGATCATCTCTAAGGTGTTAGCATCAAGAATTAAAAAGGTACTTCCTTATCTAATCTCTCTAAACCAGGGAGCCTTTGTGTCTAGGAGACAAATCACGGACCAAAAATTATTGCCAATGAGTGTGTTGACTACAGAAAGAGAAAAGGGGAAAAGGGGCTGATTTGCAAACTTGATTTGGAAAAGTCTTATAACTTGGTAGATTGGGACTTTTTACTGGAAGTTTTGAGAAATAGATTTGGAGAAAGGTGGTGTAGATGAGTAAAAGGTTGTGTGGCTTCATACCATTACTCTATTTTGGTGAATGGGGTAGCCAAGGATTTTTTCCTTGCAAAGAGAGGTCTAAGACAAGGGGACCCTCCCTCTCCCTTTTTACCTTAATAGTGGATGTTTTGAGTGATATGATCTCCAAGGCTAACTCCAAAAATCTTTTTAATGGGTGGACAGTAGGGAGGCAAGTAGTGGTCACTCATTTACAATTTGCAAATGATATAATTCTTTTTTGTAAGGGAGAGCGCATGAGGAGATGGTCAATCTGAAATGTTTGGTATAAGGTTTTGAAAAGGTCTCTAATTTGAGAGTGAATTGGAACAAAAGTTGTGTGGTTGGGATTAATAGATCAGATGAGGAGGTGTCTTCCTTGGCTAGGTTCTTAGATTGTGAGTGGAGTGACTGGCCTGTAAAGTACTCTAGGAGGAAACCCAAAGTCAAAAAGTTCCTGATACCCAGTCTTGGAAGGATTCACAAATAAACTAGCAGGGTGGAAGAGGAATTACATCTCTTTAGGAGGTAGAATCACTTTAATTAAGTCAACACTAGCAAATTTGCCAATGCACTTCCTGTCTACCTTCAAAGTGCCTGCTAAGGTTGCAAATCAGTTGGAAAAAGTAATAAGAGATTTCCTCTAGGAACTTGGGGAGTCAAAAAAGGATCACCTAGTGAAGTGGGAAGTGGTCTCTAAGACAAAAGACAAAGGGGGTTTAGGGATTGGAAATGTCCGTTTAAGAAACATAGCACTCTTAGGTAAGTGGTTGTGGAGGTTTCCCAAGGAGCAAGAAAATTTGTGGCATTAAGTGATAGAAAGCATACATGAATTAGCAGCTAATGGATGGGATGCTGATCTCAACCCAAGGGCTTCTCATTCCTCTCCGTGGAAAGACATTGTTGGTATCCTGCCCACCTTTTCTCCTTTCATCAAGTATGATGCTTGTTCAGGTAATAAGGTCCTTTTTTGGGAGGATGTTTGGATTGGGGACCAGCCTCTTAAGGATAGGTTCCCGATCCTCTACTCCCTGTCCTTGAACAAATTTAAAGTCATCTCTACCTTTCATGTTTCCGGAAAGTCGTGGGATCTAGGGTTCAAGAGAGGGTTGAGGGAGTCAAATAACGTTGGCAGATGATATTTTCTCTCTTCTAAACTCGATGTTTTTGGACCAATCTTGTCCTGATAATAGCATTTGGTCTGAAGAGTCCTCCGGTTGTTTTTCTTGCTCTTCTTTCTTCAATGTTTTAGTGCACTCTTCCAATTTAGTTTACTCTTTTCCTGTAAAATAAGTGTGGATTGCTCCTGTACCTCCAAAGGTGAGGGCTCTTTGTTGGGAAGTGGGTCTCCAAAAACCAAATTGGTTCAGAAAAAAACTAAATCAACACTTTGGACTTGCTTCAGAAAAAAGACCAAATTGGTTCTTAACCCCTCATGTTTGTAGCCTTTGCTTGAAGAGTGGTGAGACAGTAATCATCTACTAATCTCTTGTCCTTTTGTTATTCTTATTTGGGATTGGTTTTCCTCTATCTTTGGGTGCAGGTGGATTCCTCCTACAAGTGTGGTGGATCTTTTTGAATCTAGCCTTTTCCATCAGCCAAAGAAAAGAGGAAGGGTAATATGGAGAGCAACGAGGACATTAGTTGTTTGGACAGTGTGGGAAGAGAGAAATAACAGAATCTTTCAAGGGAAAGAAAAATCAGCACATGAAGTCATAGAAGGGATCACCATCAAGGTTATACATTGGCTGAAATCGCTGGACCTGTTCAAGGACTTCTCTGTAGAAGACTTAATTAGAGGGTAGAGCACAGTAGCAGCTTCCTCCTGACCCTCTTTAGCTATTCAAGAGGACTGGTCGCCCCCATTATCTATGGCTGTTAAGCTAAACTTTGATGGCAGCTCTGTAGGTAATCCAGGCCCCTCTGGAATTGGGGGTGTCTTTAGAGATGCGGGAGGAAAAGTCCTGGCCCTTTATTCTGGCCCAATAGGATTGGGGGACTCTCTTAGAGCAGAAGATCTTACACTCCTACAGGGGCTCAAACTGGCTAAACAGCTGGGTTTTCAGCAGTTGGAAGTGGAGGGAGATTCGAAACTGGTAATAGGTTGGATGCAAACAAACAGCTTAAGTGCCTAGTCCCTTGGATAACCTGCAAAGGAGATTATGCAACTAACAAGGAAGCTTGAAGTCTGGTTTGAATGGACTAGGAGATCAGCCAATGCAATGACCAATTCTTTAGCAAAGCAATGAGTTAAGTAGGCAGAACCTTTTTTGGGCCTGTTTGTAATTTTGATGAGGGGTCACCTTGTTTTTGAAGGTGATTGTTTGTACTAAGTTTTTTTAAAGAATTAATGAAAGTTATCGTTTCCCATAAAAAAAATGCATCTTTTAAAAATATCTTTTATTAGGATGAATGAATGAGAAACAATAGCAAATATGTTTAGGTCCAATCTTGGGCCAGGCATCCTGGGTATGAATTTGTCAAGTATCTTGAAGAAATCTTTAGGGAAGTTGAAGAACTTCACAATAACCTTGGAAAAAACCAAAAAGAGGAAACATACCAACCCATACACCAGTAAAACCTTCAAGTCGAGAAGCCTTGATAAAGAAGGTGTTGGAAAGAACCCTAATAACCACCTCCTCAAGAGACCTGAGGTACCAATGGAGATCCATCTTGTGATGCTGAAGATTGAGAATAGGGTATATAACTAGCTGAACACCAAATCATAGAATTTAAAGTCACAAACACATCACACAATAATTGATTACATGCTGCAGTACAACTGAAAAATTGCAGATTTAGTTATAGTCCCTTAAACAAGAAGAAAGAAGGTACTGTAGAGAGACTGGGCCAAATGGACCCTAGCCCATTATTGTCTTATTATTGTTCTTCCTTCCTACTTGCTTCGTTTGTTAAAGGGCTTTTCCTTTATGGGCCTGTTAATCCTTATTTATGTTTTTTAAGTAGATTGATGAGCTGGCCGCCCCCTTAAGGGCAAACTTGTAATTGATCAGTTTTAGTAAGACTAATAATAGTGAAGAGAGGTAAAAGAGGAAACCATCAAATTCTTCTCCTTTTCTCCCTTCTTCTCCATCTTCTTCTTCTTTCTTGCTGCCTTCCTCTTCATTTTCTTTCCCTGCTTAAATCTGAAATTATTTTGCAGAATTTTATTGGACTAAATCTCATCTTGGTATCAAAGCAAGTCTTCCTTCCATCTTTTTGTTTTTCTTTCTTTTCCCATACACCTTTCAATTAGAAGAGTGTATGGAGAGATAAGTTGTTGATTGTTCAGAGAACTTTTATGCCTAATTGGTAGAAGGTTTGGAGTGTTAGAGTCTAGCTCTAGATTGCCAAGAAAGTGAGGCTATTGATTTTTTGCCCAAAACCCTAGCCAACTAGAGAGTTTCCAATTACATGTTAAAGAGACAGCTTGGGTGTGGCACTCAAGGTTTTTGGGGTTCCATTTGATCTCCAAAAGAGGGTGGTTGTAGTTGGAAGAAGTTTAGGAAGCTTTGGTAGGAGCGGTTGCTTCTCTCTTTCTCCCCAGAAGCCGAGTGCAATGAAACCCTAGATTTGGGACCTTCAGGTACCGGACTGTCCTCAATTAGGTCCATAAAGACTAAAAAATCCTAGTTTTTGGATATTCGTTTGGTCAATGGAGCAATCTAGAAGTGAGATAAAGCAGATTCCGATGTTTGGGTTGGTCCTGTAGATTTCGTTTTGACTAAAGTGACTGCAATCAAATTAGATGGAACAAATCATCTCGTCTAGGCACAATCTATAAGGATTTATGTCTATAGTAGAGGTAAATTGGGGTATCACACGAGCAGTAAGGAGAAACCGGCAGAGACTGATCCTACATATGAAAAATGGATGCATGAAAACTACACAGTGATTAGGTGATTAGTCAACTCTGTGCAGCCTCACATAAGTCAGCATTACCTTTGGATGACTTTGCCCAAGAAGATTTGGGAGTGTCACAGAAACATATTCTCAAAAAGTGAATGTTACAAGAGTCTCTAAGTTGAAGAATGGTGTGAACAATGTAAGGCAAGGGGAGAAGAGTGTAGCTGTCTACTTCTTTATGTTAAAGTCATTGTGGTAGGAGATTGATGTTATGGAAACAGTTATATGGGAGAGACATTCAGGAAACTAGTGGAAAGAAGCAGGGTGTTTAAGTTACTTACAGGACTCAACCATGATTTTGGCATTACAAAACAAAATATTATGACTAAAGATGAAGTAACCCTTGCTCAAGCATATTCTATAGTGAGCAATGAAGAGAGTAGGCGACAAATACAGTTACAGGGACCACCTTCAGAGCATTTTACACATGCTGGAATAAAGCCAAAGAGATTGACTGAGAAGAAAGAGATGATATGTGAATATTGCAAGAAACGAAACACACTAAGGATGTTTGTTGGAAACTTCACTCTGATCTTCTCCCAGAAAGGTTTTGGAACAATAACAACAACTTCAAGAAGAATAGCCAACCTAGAAAGCCCAAGAATGCATATGTTGCCACAGCACCTAAAGTTGGAAATAGGGAAAGTGAAGAGAAATCTACTATGGAGCAGCTGGCGCAGTAAAGGTAGAATTTGAAAGGTACTGGAGGCTAATTAATCATTTAGAAAATACTGTTACAACTTCCAACTCCTCAGGCAACACCTTTTCATTTGCATTTGCTCACTCAGGTACTCGTGCTTCTACAAATCATGCTACTGCTTCAGGTAATCATAAAATCCCTTGGATTATTGATACTGGTGCATCAGACCATATGACTAGCATATCTAACCTCTTTTGTTTATATCAAATCCTCTCTAGTAGAGAGAAGATATCCCTTGCTAATGGGTCTCTTGCTACCATATTCGGCAAAGGGAATATCAAAGCCTCTAACTCCCTTGTTTTATCCTCTATTCTTCATGTTTCCAAACTTAACACAAACCTTTTATTTGTTAATAGCTTGACTAAATCAATGAACTGCAGTGTAACTTTCTTCCCTACTCACTATGTTTTTAAGACCTAAAATCTCAAAGGACGATTAGGAGTGACCACGAGGAAAACGGAATATACTTGTTGGATACACCTAATCGAAGTCTTGGACCATCTAGTGGAGTTGCTTTGGAGTCTGTTTCATAAGAGTCAGTTGATAAAGTCATGTTATGTCATTTAAGATTTGATTATTTGCCTTTTTTTGCTTTAAGTCATTTGTTTCCAGAAATATTCAAGGGAATATCCCTGTCGAGTCTTCATTGTGAGTCATGTGAACTTGCAAAACATTGTATACAGTCATATTCAATGAGTAATAAAAAATCAGTTTCTCATTTCCATATTGTGCACTCTAATGTGTGGGGGCCATATAATTTATTTGATATGAAGAGTTACAAGTATTTTAACCTTTTCGTTGATGATTTCTCTCGCTATATTTGGATTTACCTTATAAGATCCAAGGATGAAGTGCCAACAATTGTGCAATTATTCCATAAACTTATTCTTACCCAATTTAATACTCGGATCAAAATATTTTGATCTGATAATGCTAAGGGATATTTGAGAAGAACCTTACATCCTACTTTGATACCTTCGGGGTTATACATCAGAGTTTTTGTTCCTACACTCCACAACAGAATAGAGTTGTGTAAAGGAAAAATTGTCATGTGGTTGAAGTTGCTAGAAGCCTCCTTTTTGCTTCTCATGTTTCTATTAAGTTTTGGATGATACTATTCTTACCGCTACATACTCGATAAACTATATACCTTCTTGGGTTTTGGGTTTTAAAACCCCCTTTAGCCTCCTCTTTCCAGATGAGGATCTCTTCTCCCTTCCTCTCTGAGTTTTTTGGTGCATTTTCCATGTTCATGTTCACAGCCATTAGAGACATAAATTTGAGCCTAAAGCACACAAGTGTGTTTTCCTAGGATATGCCTCTACACAGAAGGGATATCATTGTTTTGATCTAGTTCGTGGCACCTGCTTTGTATCCAAGGATGTCACATTTGCAGAATCCATCCCTTTCTTTGGTACTTCTCCTAAAGGGGAGCATTCAAAGGAGTTATTTGTTATGTCCCCGATTGTTCCTCTTTCGGTTCCTCTTAAGTCTTTTTTTGAATCTCCTCCCATTAAGTCTTTTGTTGAGTCACCTTCATGTGTTCCTGCTCCCCCTCCTCCAGATCATCCTCCTACGTTTACTTCTCATCCTATTGCCCAAAGGTAGTACCAAAGACAAAGACTCAGGTATGAGCAAGTTGTTTCCACTTCTTCAACTAAGCCTCTTGCACCTCCCATCACTATGGAGATAACAGGTCAGTCCTCCTCTACCCCTTCTAATACCTTCCTAGACCTTGATCTTCCTATTAACCTTCGCAAAGGCAATCAAAAGTGTACAACCCATTGGATTTCCAAACACCTGTGCTACAGCCTTCTTTCCCCCACCTATTACTCCTTTCTTGCCTCTACTTCTACACATGCAATTCCCAGGTCTATCCCAAAAGCCTTATCCAAACCAGAATGGAGGAATGCTATGATAACTGAGCTAGATGCTTTGCATAAGAACAATACCTAGGAAATTGTGGACTAGCCTGAGGGGAAGGGACTAATTGGTTGCAAATAGGTGTTCACTATCAAGTATCATTCTGATGGTACTATTGAGAGGTTTAAGGCTCGCTTGGTTGCTAAATTATACACTCAGATGTATGGCATTGATTATCTGGAGACCTTTGCCCTTGTGTCTAAAATGACTTCAATTAGATGGATGTTCAATATGTAAAGCTAAGAGAATTGTCATGTTTAAGCGCACATTTTTCTATACTCACACATCTTTTGTGAGTGAGTGGAGAGTTGAGGAAACAACTTATGAACTTTCATTGATTTGTTGAATTGGTTAGTTGCTATTTAGAATTACTTGGTTTGAGGAATGTTTGGATGATAAGCTGAAGGATGATTTTAGTCAATTTCCAGAAAAAAAAAAAAAAAAAAAAAAAAAAAAAAAAAGAGAGAGAGAGAAGAAGAGAAAAAAAAAAAAAAACATTTGAAGAAGAAGACTCAATACAATAAAGTCTTCTGTCAATTCAAAAGACAAACTTCTTTTCTTGGGGAACAGTCATTCTCACTAGGCTTGATTTCTATTTGTATTGCTCTCGTATTTGACTGATCGAAATCCTGAAGCTGGTTTGTGATAAGAATGGTGGAATTCTAAATAGCTAACTTCCCTATCTTCTGATCAATGATTGTTTGTTTGTTTGTCCGTAAATTTGGCCTTTTTCTTGAGTGATTATCTGATTTCCAACTCCATGAGAGAAATCCCTTGCCTTAAAACAGCTTACCTGTGAGGATATGGAGTTGAGGCTTTTACTTTGATTAATTCTCAAGGCTATATGTGTTGCGGTTTGTGGTATGAAGGTTTTGCTTAGTTCACACACATTCACTTTTGGAAGTTATAATTGAAATAATCTTGATAGCATTTGTGATCTTTTTCCGACCTTTTTGTTTGAAATGCTTAGGTGGTTTTGCTAGATTTCTGTTTAAGCTAATCATCACGCTTTGTCTTTTTATTTGCGCTTAAAATGCTAGGGACTAGCAATAAGCTGGTTCGGCGTTGTGACGGAAGCATGAAAATGTATATCTAAAGTGTACTCAACAATTGACATTTGTAAAATAAAGAGTTTAAAAGTAATATTTTTCCATAATAATTTTATAAATGTCAATTTTATTATTTGTGCAATTTTTATGCTGAAATAATTAATAATTGAATGGAGGAAAGCCCAAACATTGGTCCAAGAAACCCAAACCCAAGTTCCATGGCCCAAGTATGAGTGCTGATTCGTTTCTCGTTTTACTCTGAACAAAGTCCAGTATTTTGGGCATATCTTTCTTTACAGATGTTGAAATCCGGTGATTCTTGAGGCTATGGACAGCTAAGAGATAGAGCTACAATTCATCTGTTGATATCTTTCTCTAAATCAATCTCTATCTAGGAGAAAATTGGGGGATAAGATGCCAATCCGGGCTGAGCAGATTGAGGAGCCTGGCAGCACAATAAAAGGGAAAAATCTAACCTAAAGGGAGACGACTTGCAAAGGTTATTTTGGCATTATTTTCTCAATCTTTCACAGAGGAGAAGAGGGGAGAATGACATCCAAGCACGGCTAAAGCTTCAACAAGGCTAGGGAGGATCTTGATCGATGATTTTACTTGCTATTTTACTTTGATTCCTTGAGAGATTTCAATGTTTAATTTTGTTCTTGAGAGATTTCTTTTATTATTTTGATAAACCCTGAAGTTATATTCTTCAATTTCCATATAAGATTAGTCATACTCTTTTTATGTGCAATTTGTTAGAAAATAATTGATTGGGTAGATTTATTTTATGAGTTGATCCTTGACTGCAATAATGTCAATCTGATATATTGTCGTTCTTGGGTAGCTTTTAAGAATAGATCATTTTGTTCCTTATCGAAAATTAATTCTCTTAGAACAAATACTTTTGTTCTTGTCGTTGGCTTCAAAGTTATATTTTCCGATTGTTTGTTTGGGATGTAAAACTTGCAATTAAGTAATAAATAGGAATCAAAGTCGAGACTAGTTAAGCAAATCGATCAAGTGAATCTCGAAACCTTGTTCATCACAATACTACTTTTCATCCTTTAATCATCGTTAYTTTTATTCAAATATTTTTGCTCTTCTTTTTATTTTTAGAAAATCATTTTTTCTCTAGATTATTCACACTTAGCGATAACTCCTTTTGTTGGTTTAATCAGTTTCTTTGTGGATTCGACACCTAAAGCTACGCTTCAACGACCGCTTAGCCAAGGGTAATAATTTTGGGCGAGACAACATTTAGCAGCTACAGAGAGGGTTTTGTGTTACCTGAAAGGGACTCTAGGGAAGGGTATTTTGTTTGCCAAGCATGGACACATGAAGTTGGAAGCATACATTGATGTTGACTGGGCTAGATGTATTGATGATAGGAGATCCACTTCAAGTTATTGTGCTATGATGGTAGGGAACATTGTGTCATGGGGGAGTAAAAAGCAGTCTATAGTGGCTATATCCCCAACTGAAGTAGAGTACAAGGTAATGGTACATGGAGTTTCAAAGTTATTGTGGTTGAGATCACTTTTAGGAGAATTGGGTATTAACTGTGAAAAATCAATGATGTTATATTGTGACAATCAGACCACCATCAACATTGAACATAATCCTGTTCAGCATGACAAAACTAAGCACATAGAGGTTGATAGACATTTTATACAGGAGAGAGTTGCTTCAGGAGAAATCTGCTTGCCATTTATTGCTTCTAAAGAACAATTAGACGATGTTTTGACAAAAGGTGTTCCCAAAGGAAAGATGATACACTATATAAGCAAACTGGGCATGATTGATATCTAAGCTCAGCTTGAGGGGGAGTGTAGAGAGACTAGACCAAATGGGCCCTATCCCATTATTGTTCTTCCTTCCTACTTGCTTTGTTTGTTAATGGGCTTTTCCATTATGGGCCTATTAATCCTTTTTTATGTTTTTTAAGTAGATCGATGAGCTGGCCGCCCCCTTAAGGGCAAACTTGTAATTTGATCAGTTTTAGTAAGATTAATAAAAGTTAAGAGAGGTAGAAGAGGAGATCATCGAACTCTTCTCCTTTTCTCCCTTCTTCTCCATCTTCTTCTTCTTCTTTCTTGCTGTCTTCCTCTTCCTTTTCTTTCTCTGCTTAAATCTGAAATTATTTTGTAGAATTTTATTGGACTAAATCACATCTAGTACAATAAAATGATATTAAATCATTAATAGGCATTTTTAAAACAATACACTTTGGCTTCACCAGAAATGGGCTTCTGTTTATCTTTGTTACAGCATTCCAACTTTTGGGTGAATTTATATGATTATTCTAGTCTCAAGGTAGCATTTACTTGTCATTATTGAGATGATGAAGTCAAGGTATTCTTCATTTCAAGAAACACCAAAAGATGAAGTGACACGACTTGACAAAACCATAGCTTTCTGGCCACCCCACATTTTCTGTCTTTTCCCTCTTTCGGATAAGTAAAGATTATTGACACGTATTAAAAGGACAAAGTGATGCTTCATAACACAAATTATGACCTCTAACAACATGCAAAAGTATTGTATATCATATCCATGACGTCAGTGAAAAAAGAAAACAAGTACCTGACCAGGCCCATGATATGTAACCTCCCCACCACGTTCCGTCTTGTAAACATTATAAGGAGCGTACTCCCTCTCAAACTTCAAGAACTTCTCTGAACTAGCAGTACCCAATGTATAAACAGAAGGATGTTGAAGAATAATTAATGTGTCAAAGCAATCTTCACCTCTATCAATCAAAGATTTCTTCTCTTTTACTATGGATTTTTGCCAGGATAGGGCTTCCAAATAAGGAACATGTTCTTTGTACAGATCAAAGCATTCACACCTATACATTCACAACAAACATGTGGGATGGTTAAGATTCCTACTAATGTACTGGTAATTGGATAAGCCAATTGCAAGTTAATATATCTCAAATCAGAATCAACACAAAGAGCTCTATGGAGTCGTTATTAAAGAAACTACGAAAAAAAAGTGTTAGATAGTGTATGCCCTCAGCTCCACCAGACTGATGTATACACACTTGTTGTTGAATAAAATCAGTGCATTATTATTCCATGTGTGTTATGGTGAGTTTTTGTGTATTACCCCTGAACTTATGAGACTTATGTAAGCTTAAATGTTCTCAACCGAATGATAAACTTGGGGAATTTATCATATCGAAGTTGACACTCCTGCACTACCAAATTGTTAGAGCAATCTGTCTCAACTGCTCAGGTTAGACCTAAGGTATAGTGAAGTGGGAGGTGGTTTCTAGGAGTAGGGATGATGGAGGCCTTGGGTTAGGAAATATAAGATTAAGAAACACGGCTTTGCTGGGGAAATGGATTTGGAGACTACCGATGGAACATGACAGACTTTGGTCTAGAGTGATTGTTAGTATTCATGGATTGGCAGATAACGGCTGGGATGCAGGACTCGACCTTGGGGCTTCTCGGTGTTCTCCTTGGAAAGCTATTCAAGGTATTTTGCCTCCTATGCTTCCTTATTTCAAATACGATGTCTGCACTGGAAATAAAGTCTTGTTTTGGGAAGATGTTTGGGTTGGTGAAAACTCACTTAGAGATAGATTTCCTTCTATTTACTCCTTGTCTAAAAACGAAAGAAAAGTGATCTCTTGAGTGTTTGTTGATAACTCCTAGGATTTGGGCTTGAGAAGAGGTCTAAGGGATTCTGAAATGGGGATGGTTGATGTTTTGATCACTCAGTTAGGGGAAGTCTTTCTTAATCAGTCCTGTAGAGATAGCAGAATTTGGAAACCTTTCCCTTCTGGTTTTTTGGTGCGTCTTGGTGACACTAGCAAGTGCACTAGCCGCTCAAGTAATAGAGTAGTGACTAGAGTATCGTTTTCTGGAGAATATAATGTGTTACTGTTCACACCCAAGAAAATTTTTTTTATCAACCCCAAGAAATTTTTCATTTACTGAAATGGGGGTGGGGTTGATGAGATTCTTTCTCATGTGCTTCTTTCTTCCCTGCCCTTCTCCAATCAAACAACCAAGGTTTGTCTTTCCAAGCCAAAGAAGTGTGGAGTATTCCTTTGCCCCAAAAAGTGGGGAGGCAGCTCTATGGCAGTATAAAAACAAGCTAAAATGTTCTAATGGTTGTCTAGAGGGTGAAAGTGAGATTTCAATGGGTTCAAAGGATTGCCAATAGTATGGCTGATGTACTAGCCAAGCAAGGGGTGAAGAGGGAGCAAATCTTTTGGGCACAATTGTAAAGAAAGTTGTATGGGGAGATAAAAGCTTTTTATCTCTCCCATCGATGCATGTATTATGTACTCCTAATTTATTAATCAAAAAAACAGGCATTTTGCTGGGAAGCATTTCTCAATAGAGTCAACACTTGAAATGTGCTTCAAAAAACAATGGCCAAATAAGTGCCTATCACGGTATCACCTCATGTCTATATCCTTTGATTTACTTGTGAGACAGCTCCACACCTATTAATTTCTTGCTCTTTGTTGATTTTATTTGAGATTCGCTTGCTTCTTTCTTTGGGTGCAGGTGGGGGCACCCTCCTTCTGTAGCAACTTTGTTTGAAGTAAGCTTTCTCAGACAACCAAAGAAGAAATGAAGGGTGTGGAGAGCTACTAGAGCATCAATATTATGGTGGACAGCTTGGAAAGAAAGGTACAACCATATCTTTTGAGATTCAGCTAGATCCAAGGAGGAATTAATAGAAAACATCACCTTCAAAGTAGAAAATTGGGTGAGAATTAGTTGTTTAAGGAGTTTTCAATGCAAGACATGATTAGGGGATGGAAAGCAGTAGCAGATACATCAACTATCAAGGTCGTAACTTAGGAGGTTTGGGTCCCTTCAGCATCTCAAAGAATAAAACTAAACATTTATAGAAGCTCAATGGGCAACCCAAGACCTGGTTTTGGAGGAGTTTTCAGAGATGGGGAAGGAAACATAGTGGCTCTCCTTTTTGGTCCAATAGGAGTGAGAGACTCACTTGGAGCAGAAGTTTTGTCCTTCCTTCAAGGCTTAAGATTGGCTAAATAGTTGGATGTCCAACATTTAGAAGTGGAAGGCAACTCCAAGTTAATGAAAGGGTGGATGCAAACAAGGAATCTGGAGGTATGGACCAACAGGCAGGTTTGAGGGAGATATTTTGTCTTTCAAGAGAGACTGATGTCAATTTCAAATGGACTAGAAGATCAACCAATGGGATGACTAACAGCTTAGCTAAACAAGGGACGAGTTCTTTTGGACTGCTTTGTAATTTGGAATTCCAAATGAAAGTAACCATTTAAAAAAGGGCAGCCCAGTGCACAAGGCTCCAACCAATGGTTGGAAAGTAACCATTTCCAACCAAAAAAAGGTGTGGTATGGAGTTGCACTCTTCCTTCGGAAAAGACAGACTCTCGCTTCTTATCTCATCCTATCCAACCCCTTTTGTTGACAAATAACAATATATTCATTAGAATAAACTCCTATCTGCCCCCAAGATGGCTGCAGGCCAAACAAATACAATTGGAGCTGGCTGATCCTATCCAGCCTTTCATTTTATGTTTACAAAATGAAGACTGTAACCTATATGTCCTGTATTGTTTCTTTATTGCACATGTGAAGTCCATATTAACCAATATCTAAGATTGCACTAATATATCTTAAATTTAGAACGTATCTTTTAATGGTCAACTTGTCAGCACCTAGGTACCAATTAATCATTGTATCACCTAGGGAGGCCAAAATGACTCGTCATTCTATCACCACATTAGCACCGAGAAATATTGTGGAAGTGGAATAAATAACACATGCATGTTTGCAGGAGGGGAAGATAAAATATCTCACCTTCTCATGTCATTATTTGTTTTTGACGTGGCCAAGGTCTTGAAATTTGAAAACTTGTACAGCTTTGATGTAACCTCATTAATAGAAGATTGGCATGTTGATTTTGAATGCCCTCGAGTTTGAAATGTTGAAAATGAATAAAAAGCAGGGGTTACTGCAAGAAGCATCTTATCTCATTGAATTTGTTACTACCAAAGAAAGATACTGTCCACTGATCCACAACAGAAAGATGAATGGAATAATCGACCCACCATTCCAATGCTTTATGCACAACTCAATGTGCTGCAGAAGTCCTACAACTGAAACACAAAACATAAAGCAAATTACAATGCTTAGAACCACACACTGAAAGTGAAGGGCCCTTTTCTGCTGGCAGCTGACTATAACGATATCTGCAAAGGTACTTATATAACTTTGAAGAAAAGTCATGAAAAATAGAAGGTCCTTCATAAAATAGAAAATATATTGGAAGAGAAATCATACCAAAAGCACTCAGTTAATAGGTTAATATTGCCTTCTTACCTAAATTTACAAAGTGACACACCAAAATAAATTCCATACAAGGAAAATTGGATAATTTTAATATCCTAGCTACCTTTCAAGAAAAATATACACTAGAAGCATCCAAACTTGTCCATAAATCATTTCAAAATGCAAGAGACACTGATGAAAAATCAACAAAGATCATGTCAAACAAACAAGAGTTAATAGTGCCACTATACTATTAAAAACAGCATGTATTGAAAGAAAAAAAAAAAAAAAGTATTTCTTCTTGTTAGATTGTACAGAAATTTTCAAATATAAAAAAAAAAAAGTAATTTTTATTGAAATTAAAACAACCTTAAGCAACAAATAACAGAACTAATATCTGCCATAGAACTATGCATTTCACCCATATTCTGTAAAAATTATGCAACCCTTAACACTTGAAACAACATGTACATATATCTACAACAGCCTCAACTCAACCTTAATTACAACCATTTGGGGTAAACTACAAATCACCATAGTTGCAAGTTGAATATAGTCTAGTCTGAAAATGGTAATGCAACCAATATACTTTGCTCTCTATCCTTTTCATGGTTTCAAATGTCGCCAAATGTCACTAGTGCCGCCCGACATATGTCGATGTCGAGGCTCACCGACATGAAAGTGGATGGTAATATAAAAATTACATTATGTCGGTCCAAATAACCGAGGCTCACCAACAAATCGGTCCAAATAACCAAAAAAAAATACAGTTTTTCCTATTATGTCGACAAGATGTCGACGGGATGTCAACTAATGTACATTAAAAATATAATATATTAGTATATTATATTAATATAATACAGTATATTAATATAGATTATTCCATTAATAATTTCTATTTAATATTTCAAATAAAATATTTATAAAAAGAATTAACAAAATATAAAAAACAAAAGA